ACCCTCTCTCTTAGACACTACAGCTGTTATAAGCTTCACAGTGAATTCCACTGTCACACATGATGGCTACTTTTATATAAATGCTACACTTCAGAAAGGAGTGGCTGGGATTATGATACAAGCACAATACATCAACGGATCAGTCCTTTTCAATCAGCCTATTTTGAGGAACTCCTCTAGTGACTATGCAGGAGCTAACAATACGACACCACTGCCCAATGGAACTTTTTATTTAGCTATTTATATGTTGAAGAGTGATGGAGTATCGTTTGATTTGTCGCGACCTATTAGGGAGAATATAGTGATAACATCACTAATTAATCCTGATGGACCTGTTGGACCTAAAGATAAGTTCCCAAGTAAGTATAATTTATAATTAATTACTTATGTGTGCATATTTTTCTACATAGCTTGGGTCATCATCCTAATAGTATCAGTCACAGGGGTCGCTGCTCTAATTTTTGTTGTAATTCTGGTACCTGCAATATTATGTTAGTAAAATGATGTATATTTCTTGATAAAATTTTACAATAATCTCTACTGTTTCAGGTTGGTGTCATAACAGACGAAGAAGAGAGGAAATAAAAAACCGACAACTCAATGGAGGTGAAGTAGATACACAGCCAGAATTAGTCCAGGTTGATGGAGGGCCTCAAGAAGATAGACAGGCCCAAGGTTGTCAGCAGCCCCCAGAAGCTGAACCATCTCAAGAAGATGAGCAGCCCCCCAAAGACAAACAATCTCAAGAAGATGGACAACCTCAAAAAGATAGACAACCTCAAGAAGATGGAGAAGGCCCAACAGCCCAGGCATACCCACAACCAGTCCAAGAAGATCCACAGGTCAAAGGTCAAAAATGCATGAGTGGACATGAGTCAAATAAATTTTTAAGGTAATTATTCATTTACTATAATATTTTATTGTTTTTATTTTAAAACAGCATTTCTAAACAATCGTATCCGGTGTTGACTAAGCCAAGCCTTCCTCCACACTCACCAAGTGCTTTTGAACAGACCAAAACATTTGAAAACCTCAGTTCTGATGCACGAGTATATGAATCAGCAAGTATTAATATTACAATACGTGAGGATAATTCAGTTTCTTATTCTTCTACTGCTGGATCCGATCGTCCTCTATTACCTGAACCTGCTCCTACGACCTCATACCAAACTACAGCTGCAGAGGAAAAAAAGGTTTTCAGCCACTAACAACTAATAATTTAATTATATTATATGTATAATAGGTTAATAAGCCTCAAAAAGTTAGAGCTGATAGCGAACCTTTTGAAATTGTACACATATAAATGGAGACTGCATGGAAAGGTGACAAATGACTGAATCATTCAACAGAAATTTGTAACTCCATTATTTAGATATCAATTCCACTAAAATTATTATACATATATATTAAATCACAGGTTAAACAAGCAGCAATTATAATTTTGTATGAACTGGATCTGTAAAATTATATTATCACTTTACTTTTGTGTGCTAAATTTTGTAATTCTTTTTTTCTAGTTTTTTTTTCAAAAAGTGACATGTTATTTTAGACGCCAATCAGAATTAGGCCAAATCACATAAAAAGCATTGATATGCATAAAAATGTAAGATTCTTTCATTCTTACAAAAATTTAAATTCTCTCTTAGCCATTTTTGATAAAATACCCAGGGACTTTGGCTTAATTTGGAGCAACTTTAAAAATTTGTAAAAATCTAAATGCAATTGGAATCAGCTCTAACTTTTAAAACAACATAAAAACATGCATATGTGTCAGGAAAAGTTATAAAAATGAAGAATTTTTTATATGCATGTTTGTTGTTGGAAAGGTGCAGTGCTAGTCATAATAGATAACGATCACATCAAATATTTAATTGATTATTAGATCTGATACTCAAACTGATTTTGTATTTAGATTTGTATTAAGACTTATAATTATGTACTTTTCCCTAAACATTTATTATTAATTTTTTAATAATAAAAGCTGATTTGTTTAAGGCTTCATTGTTTGTGCAGAACTATGGTCAGTAAAAATAATTAATTGTCGATATTCATTGCATATTGAGGGGGATGTCCCAGGTAAAATCCCTCGCCTCAGGCTCATAAAATAATTATAAAAATTATTTATTTCCAGTCTTATTATTATTATTTCCAGTCTTTGGGCAAAAATGTCTACAACCCTCACTTCCCTCCGTTCTATGTTCAAAGTCTCTGTCGTGACAGTCACTGCAGTCCTTCTCCTACTGCCTCAATCCGTTAGTGCTTGTGAGACCAACAAGGAATGCACGGAAACCGTTTCGGCTTCCTACAAAAACAGCTTGGTTGAAGTATTACAGCAAGGTTAGATTTCATAAGAGGTATTTTAAGCATTCCATTCATCTCATAATAGGAGAAGGTTTTATTCCTCCTTATAACACTACTGCCTACAATAATGGTGGCTCTGTCAACTTTACTGCTACATCTAATTTCTCCATTTATTGCCCAGCAGTAACTTATAAAAATGACTGCCGTTGTTCGGATTATACAGAAACACCTGTGGACGGATTCTACTATCTCATAGTTTTCACTATTTACAACATCAGTATGGCAGATGATGGTACAAGGGTTGATATCTGTGCACACTGTAGTGATGGGCTCAAATGCTTTCCTCCAGCTTATCTGAATGTAAAGGGTATGTCTGCTATGCCTATAAATGTAACTAGGGTGAATGTAAACATTGAAGGGGCGAGCATGAGCCATCAATTAACAATTGAAATTATAATTGAACTAAATAAAATCATCCAGCTCTTAGCCTGCATACATATTCAGACCCCGGCCTCATGGCCGGGGTCTGAACAGAGCAAACACACCAGTTAACACTGAACCAAAATAACCCAGTAAAAGAGACAAGGATGAACTATCCTGTCACTTTGAAAAAATGTGCCAAGCTAAACTTTTAATCAAGCTTCCATCCATTAACATCTTTTTGAAATAAAACTACTGAAATAGAATCAATCCAGCTCTTAACGTACATGCATATTCAGACCCCATCCTCATAGTCCGGCGGGGTCTGAACAGAGCAAACCCACTATTTAACACCACTGACCAAAATGACCTAGTAAAAGAGACAAGAATGAACTGTCCTAATACTTTGAGAAAATGTGACAAGCTAAACTCCTAATCCAGCTTCTCTCACAATTTTAATTCTTTCAATGAGAGGACTAATCTAGAGGAGTCTTAGATCAAACTGCTTTTAAGTTCTTCAGCCTTTAGAGATGCTATAGACAGCCCCTCTCTCTTATCTAGCTGTTAAAAAATCAATCTGAGTTTGTCACGTTAAAATTTCTGCCATCTGTTCTTTTTGACCACACCCTCTAAATTAATTTTGCCCATGTGGTCCAAATTTATCAATAGTATACTAATTTAATTTTCGTATTCTTCCGTTCACAAACAAGACGTAACGCAAATAGACCTAGACAGATTAGAGTGGGTCTCGCTCTTGTTCGCCCCAATAAAACTTCGTAAAAATTGGGTATGTTTTAGAGCCAATTTTGTATGTCCTTATAGAGCTACTGCACGGAAGTAATCAACGGGAGTGTAGCTATGATTGTCCGCCATGTTGGGTGGCAAGAATATACATGGAATGAATGAAGATGCAGAAACAAACTGGGATTTTCCAACGACCAGATATCATACTTGGCTTTAGAATATTGTGGAGAGTTCTTCACTCAATATCTTCATCTCCTAGCTTGCATTAACCTGTATTGTAAACTGCAGAATTTATTCAGATTTTTCTCCATTCTCCCCATTCCACCATGTACATTCTTGCCACTCAAGATGGCAGACAGTTATAGCCGCACCCCTCCTGTTGATTACTTCCGTGCAACAGCTCTATATATAAACCATCCCTAAAACCCTTTAAATTTTTGGAATTATGGCTATTAAATTTTTGACTCTTTTTTAAATTTTTATTTTTTACGTAGATAAGCCAGTATTATCAGCTGATGATGTGTATGCCATTGCTACTTGTAATGGTATACAAGTAGAAGGACAGAAAGACAATGACACAGTCATTATGGCCACAGTGAAGGACTCTCTTAATCTCACTGTGCTTCATTGCAGCATTTCAACTTTACCATATCTGATTAATTATACTGTACTCCCTCCTGGTATTGACTTTAATATTGAATTTGTTGGTGTTAATGCAGCTGGAGTGGGAGGAGCATTGGAACAAACAGTGTCATTTGAGAATTGTAAAGTTATAACTAATGATGATAATAATTAATATAATCTTTAATATTTTAGTAACTTACTTTCAACTGGGACCCTTTGAAGTTTTATTTGAAGAGGACAAGGAGCAATTAGTCATCAGATTTATTGTGAGTCATTCATTGAATAATGTTAATTATTATTATTATTACACACTATTATATATAGTTCAATGACACCAGTAGTCCATCATGGGCTTCTGGTAATTGTTTTATAAGACCACAAGAGGTGGAGGTCAGCTCAATTTGTATACTTGGAGGGAGTAGATCCTTTGATATCAGTGATACTGACAATGTTACTGCTGATCTGTTGGATGGAACAACTAGTTCTAATTGTGAATTTAATGTATCATCAGGAAAAATTAACTATCAAAAAGTTATAAGTAAGTGCACTGTACTTCAATGCATGCATCATCATATGACTCTGTACTATATCCCTAAGACCATGGGGTCTTTGACCAAATGTTGCCAAAAATGACTAGGAGAGATTTCTATATTTTTATAATTTTTTCTGATGCATATACATGTTTTTATGTTGTTTCTCAAATTTGAGCTGATTCCGATCAAAATTAATTTTTTTACGAATTTTTTAAGTTGCTCTAAAATCGGCTAAAAGTCCCTGTACTATAGTACAGGGTCTTTGACCAAATTTTACCAAAATTGATGAGAAGAGATTTTTCTATTTTTATAATTTTTCCTGGTACATATACATGTTTTTATGTTGTTTCTCAAATTTGAGCTGATTCCGATCAAAATTAAATTTTTTACAAATTTTTTAAGTTGCTCTGAAATCGGGTAAAAGTCCCTGTACTATAGTACAGGGTTTTTGACCAAATTTTACCAAAATTGATGAGAAGAGATTTTTCTATTTTTATAATTTTTCCTGATGCATATACATGTTTTTATGTTGTTTCTCAAGTTTGAGCTGATTCCGATCAAAATTAATTTTTTTACGAATTTTTTAAGTTGCTCTGAAATCTTGCCAATGATCAATATAGGTTATGAATTTTTCAAAAATTGCTCTAAGGATATTTTCCATAAAAACCACTGAAGTAAAACCAAAGGCAAGGCTATGAGCATTGTTATTGTACACCCTGACCTCTACTAATCTATTGTAATACATACATGTACATGTATACATTGTGTGTGGTCCAGTAGATGTTGTATGGTCCAAGGTCTATACTTATGATGGTCATATGACTGTTGTTGACTGTTTACTGCATTTCATGCATCACATGCCAACTTATGAATATCATTTAAATTATAATCACTTATTCTTTATAGACACCAGGCCAGTAGTAGCTTCTGTATATCCTGAGGTCACAACTAATGGACAGTTCAATATTACTGCTGATTACATTCGTGGAGTACCAGAATTAGTGATACAAGTACTAACGTCAAATGGAAGTGAACACTCTACTCAAGAGATTAGTCTGAGACTTGATAATGGCAGACGTTCACTGACTGTTTTAAGCAGTGTAGTATTAGCTAATGGTAGCTATACTGTTAATGTGTTTATTAAGAAACATAATGGAGCATTGCTTATGGTGGAAAGTGGTATACCAATTCACTGTGTGATGAAAGAAGAGGATGATAATAATAATAATAATAATAATAATGATCATGATGATGATGATCATGGTGGTGGTAATGATGGTGGTGAAGTTGAGCCTGATGGTGAATTAGATTGTAAGTTGTATAATTAAAATGACATTTAATGTTGAATCTTATTTCTAGGGTGGATTTATGTGATCATTGCTATAGTTTGTTTGATTGTTTTTTCTAAAACAATTGCATTTGTTGCAACTGTTTTGGTAATAATTGCTGCAGGTAGGTCTATCCCTTTCTGTGCATAAATATTCAATTATGTTTTAGTTCGTAACAGAAGGAATTCTAACAGGGGAAATGGGAACAGGTACATGTATGTTTAAATTATTATTTTTTAAGTATGTGCATATATGATAATGTATGATAATGTTAATAGAAATAGAATGCGATCTGCAGAACTGGTACAGAATAGCAATAATGCTGTGGAACTATTAGAAGTGGTTAATCAAGTTACTGATTATCACCGGAATGAACCGTATGTTTTAAATATTTTTTTTATTTGATTTTTTTGTATTTAGTATGGAAAGAAATGACGGAAGAGAAGTGGAAAAAGAAAAAGAAGAAAATCAACAGATTGAACAGTACGACACAATAAACTTTATTTTTTATTTTAGTTATTTATTTAGTGTTGAAGGGGGAGGAAAGGATGGAAGAGAGGGGGATAATGTAGAGCAACCAAACAATCTATATGAACATAACCAGCAACCAGCAACACCTGAAGACAGTATACCAACCCTATCACCTCATAATACTCTCCCATTGCCTGTTGCTGATACAGGAACACCAGATTAGTAAGAATATTCATGTAATTTGTAATAATTATGTTTTAATTCAATAGTACACAAAACCAGCAGCAGTATTATAATCCTACTCCCCAAGAACCATCCATAACTGATAGCACCGAAAATTCTGTTGCCTGTCTAATTTCACAGAAGGACAAAGTACCTTTTTCTGGTTCCGTTTCTCATCCTACTCCTATTCAAATTGCGTCACGAAGTGGTACTGGAATTTCTAGTACTACTGCATCGGAAACTGCTGCTTTGCTACCTCCATCAGAACAGCATGGTTACTGGCATGAAACCAGTGAAGCTTCTGAACATACTAAAACTGATCTGGTGGTTACTAAAACTGATCTATTGGTTAATAGTCCTCCAAATCCTCCAGTTACCATTCCACAACTTGTGGAACCAGTTGATGAGTCTCAATCTAGTTCATTCAATCCGTCTAATGAACTTGTGCAGCCTGTTGGATCAGATAGTATTGCTTTTGTTGGCATTTCTGCTGGAAATAGTAAAACTGATAAGGATTTCCTTGTTATGCCACCTGCTACTTTTCACAGACAATTTTCTCGGAGTATCTCTCAAGAGTATCGACAGGTAAGTTAATGATATTTACCATATTTTTAAAATTATTCATTGTTTTTTGTTATAATAGAGAATATTGGAGGGTTCTTGTCCTACCACACCTACTGCTGTAACTCCTACTGATCAACGTAAGCATAATTATTAATACTAATTAATGTATATTTATAATAAAAATAGTTGTTTATTTTGGAGTTGGAACAGATGAAAAACATAACTAGAATTAATTGAGCTGAGGAAAATTTTTATAATAGCTGCATTGCTACCTCACTGCTGCTTATTTTATATTATATATATATTGCTGATAATTATTTGTACTGTGTCATGTACATTGTGTATTTATTTATTTAGTTATTTATATTTTTAATAGTTATTGTATAATGTTTTATGCCCAATGTAATTGTTTTAGTTGATCATTATTTGTTTTTAAAAAATAATAATTATTCCAATTCTCAGTTATTATCATGATTATAGTTATTGAAAACAGTTGCTGAGTATTCGTGAGAATATGATGCATCACAAATAAAACACTACTCGTGTTCACATTCATCCAGTTTTCATCTGATAAAAGCCTGTTATCATAACTTCATGATAGACAGTGCTGTCGGAGAAAAAATGATTCAAAATGAATTGGGTCTATCTTTTGTGGTCTTGTTCTTGTTGATCCTGTCAGTGGATGGAGCTGGTAATAATGTGTCATGAATGTACTTCATGTTGTTATTGCCCTTCTAGATATAACAGTTGGTCCTACTTCTGTTACTGTTCCTATTTATGAGACAGCAAGTTTTACTTGTGAAGGAACTGGCAATGAACTGAATTGGCTAGTACATAGTTCTGCATTAACAGAATCAGTTAAACAACAAAGAAGCATCACAATTACTGATCCTGGTGGTGGTCCTGGTAACTTATCATCAGTACTTACTATCACTGGGTTACCTGTTAATGATGGATTACAAATTGGTTGTCAAATAATATCACATCCACCATTGAAACAAGTGTTCTCTGACACTAGTACACTAACAATAAGAGGTTAGTACACGGTTAGTATAGTATATTATTAATCATCTATCAGGAATATCACCAGTTGAAGACATACAATGGTCTATTGATGATCAGTTATTGTCATGGTCTCCTCCTTCTTTCTATTCTGATGATATTATTTCAGGAGGCATTGCTATTACTACATATAATGTACTAGTGAATGGTATCAGTTATATCAACACTACTGATACTAGTGTGTGGTTGAATACTACTGGATTATCTTGTACTAATGTTACAACTGTCAGTATTACTGCATCTATTGAACAATATGAATCACAAGGGAGAGAATATAATCTTAACATTAATGGAAGTAAGTGTGAAGCTAAAATGCTTTACTTATGTCCATCCATAGGTTACACTATCAGTATATTAAATTACACTCTGATGTATAATGAAACAAGTGGTTTCTTTTTTATTGATTTTACAAACTTGGTAATGATAATTTTTATGCATAATTTATAATCTACCATTGCAATTAGGTAAACAGTTCAGCACAATCCTGTAACATTACCATATATGGTAATCTTTATCCAGACGAAGGAGTGACACAGACCTCATATCATACCAGTACTGATGGATTAATACCTTACACAATGACCGGATTAAAACAATGCAAGACTTATATTGCCCAAGTCATTGTATCGAATCCCTTCTTTGGTATTGTAGATCAAGACAACGTAACTATTCGTAAGTTTACATTTATAAACTGTTTTAAATTTGCTTACTTTATCTTAAGCTACATATAATGTACAAGATGTGCTAGTATCTACTGAAGGGAATGGATCAGTTAGTGTACAGTGTGTGTTTGTATCAGGATCAACTGCTGATGGATGTCATGTGATATTTACTGATACTAGTAATGGAAGGAATGAACACTTTAATATAACTGGATCAGACAATACAATACTATCACTTTCAACCAGTGGAGTCTATACTGTGTCAGTGTACAATATTATTGATGGGTACATCACTCCATGGACTTGTGTACAACCTAAACATGTATACATAGACATTGCTATTCCTCCTATTGTCTACAGCAGCAGTTACAGCACTGCACATAGTACCAGTAAGTATTGATGAACATTTAATTAAGTGCATTACTGGCTTTATATGACCTTTAGGTATGTTGCTATCTATAGAGGTAGAATTGTCAGGTAAATTCTAATTTCTATAATTCAAAATAATAAATTATATTCATTTAGCTTACTATACAGTTGACAATAGTAGTACAGTGAAGTCTGCTGCTGTAGATACAGTTGTAGTGATAGTGTGTACTATAGTTGGTACAGTATTTGTACTAATACTACTAATTGTAATCATCACTACTAGTATCTGGTGTGTGAGAAAAAGGAAAGAAGGTATAGCTGTTTGTATTAGTTTGTTTAGCAAAATGTACTTTTAAAGGTAATTCAATTGAGATGACAGTAAATAATCCAGCATATGGTCAGAGTAAGCTAATTAAAAATTATAGATACACTAGATTTATTCATTTCTAGTTGAACAAACAGCAAGACCTATACAGTCAGTACAAGGATCAGTATTAAACACAAATGTTAATCCAGCTTATGAGACTGTTGTTGTTTATGAATATGTAATGTAATTAATTAACAGATCATAACATAACAGACCGTACCCCTAATCCCCGACGTGACGAAGACATCGGGAGATGGCCCTGGCAACATCATAGATGGCTAGTCTCGCAGACCAGACATCGAGGGGAACATGAACATGATGGATATTCATCTGTTTTTGTTTATAAGTCTTCTCCTCATTTCAAAAGGAGCGCATAGCGCTGGTAAATAGCCAGTAACTGATTATGTGTATTTCCTGTTTCTAGATATAACGGTTGATCCTACTTCTGTTACTGTTCCTATTTATGAGACAGCAAGTTTTACTTGTGAAGGAACTGGCAATGAATTGAATTGGCTAGTAGGGAGTACTCTACTAACAGAATCTGTTGGACAACAAAGAGATATATCAATTACTAGCAGCAATGAAGGTGGTGTTCTGTCTTCAGTACTTACTATTACTGGGTTACCTGTTAATGATAGATTACAAATTGGCTGTCAAATAATATCCCATCCACCTTTTGAACAAGTGTTCTCTAACACTAGTAGTAAACTGTCATTAAGAGGTTAGTCTATACATTATGATTAGTAAAAGAATACTAATCATCTATTAGGAGTATCACCAGTTGAAGACATACAATGGTCTATTGATGATCAGCTTTTGTCATGGTCTCCTCCTTCTTTCTATTCTGATGATATTATTTTAGGAGGCTATGCTGTCACTACATATGATGTACTAGTGAATGGCACAAGTTATATCAGCACTACTGATACAAGTGTATGGTTGAATACTACTGGATTACCTTGTACTAATGTTACTGTCAGTATTGATGCATCTATTGGACAATATGTATCACAAGGGAGAGAATATATTTTTAACATCACTGCAAGTAAACTATAATAAACATAAAGCTCAATATAATTTTTAATGTCCATCCATAGGTTACACTATCAGTATATTAAATTACACTCTGGTGTATAATGAAACAAGCGATTTGTTTTCTATTAATCTAATAAACTTGGTAATGATAATTGTCATGCATAATAATTATTTATAATTTACCACTTAATAGGTAAATAGTTCAGCACAATTCTGTAACACTACCATATATGGCATCCTTTATCCTGATGAAGGAGTAACACAGACCCCATATTATACCAGTACTGATGGACTAGTATCATACACAATGACTGGATTAAAACCATGCAAGATTTACACTGTTCAAGTCATTGTATTGAATTCCTTATTTGCTATTGAAGATCAAGATAATGTCACAATCAGTAAGTTTACATTTATACTGTTTTAAATTTAATGTTTACTTTATTATAAGCTACATATAATGTACAAGACCTGCTAGTATCTCCATATACCAATGGATCAGTTAGTGTACAGTGTGTGTTTGTATCAGGATCAACTGCTGATGGATGTCATGTGGTATTTACTGATACTAGTAATGGAAGGAATGAATCATTTAATATAACTGGATCAGGCAATAGTGCACTGGTAACATTATCAACCAGTGGAGTATATAATGTAACAGCATATGACATTAGTGATGATGAAAGTATTGTACCATGGACTTGTGTACAACCTAAACAAGTGTATGTGAGTTCTATAACTTCCTCTATAACTTTCTCCAGTGGTAAAAAAAATGTGTTATTTCTTTATTATTATTGTTACTATTATTAGCAGATAGTACTATCAGTGTCAGCTCTATTTCTTCCACTACTGCCATCAGTATTTCTGTTATTCCAATACCATCGTCATTTGGAATTGAAGCTACACAAGGTATTCAATGGCATAGTATGTACTCTATATCATTTTTAGGTTCAGGAACTGATGGTAACTCAATAATTTACATCATTTCTGGAGCGATTGGTGCTGGTTTATTGGTGATACTCATAGTAATACTCATAGTAATACTCATAGTGGTAGCATTGATTGTGATGTGTAAGAGACAAGCTAAGAAGAAAAAACGTAATTTAAATTCAGGTACATATTATCTATTATATAT